TTTATTTCATAGATTATCCAGCAGCACTATTGTGAAGCAATCAATAGACCCCCGATAAAAGCACCAGCAGAGTATTTAGGAACAACGTTGCCCTTTTTATTTGGAGGTTTTCGAGGGTACAGGGTGCTCTGAACCAAAGACCAGCCACAGCTCATTTGTCCTAACAATTCTGCATTTAAGTTCATCGTGAGACTGAGTTGTTATCGTAGTGATAATTTGAAAAGCGTTATTCCGAGCACTGTTCCGGAAGTAAAAGTCCCCTTCATTTTTCCCCATAGTCGATGTTATTTTACCTTTTCTACGGCTTGGATCGGCATGAAACTCTCCTTGTTAAATCAGTACAGAAGATTTAAAAACTGAATTAAAAGTTGAAGATACAAGCCTGTGTAAATGAAAACGTTGTGGGTCGACGTTTACTACGAGTCCCAAAGTGCATTTCAGAAAGAAACATCCAATCACTGAGCTTTAATTCAGCTTTAATTAGTTACTTTTTTTCTTCTTCTGTGACAACGGGTAGGAAAAAAACGAACCATTACTAACCTTAAGGGAGATATTGCGTAAAGAAAACTTTGAGATGGGAATACAGAATGGGGATTATTACTTCCGGAACCAGCGGCTCGTCCTACTTGGTAACTCTCCACAGTATTCGTAGCACAGATGAGTCGGGTGAATAATGCCAAATTGTCTTGTACAGGGTGGTGCAGCCAATTCAACTTTCCTGTTCATGGTCAATTACATTTGAGCCGACTGCTCTTTTCTAATAACCTGAGGATCTGTTGTCCGTGCACGTCAGATTTAACGGCGGTGGAGCTCTTGTGTTGTCATTGTGAGAGTCGTAAAGGGGAAACTGTGAAGCTGCGATAACTGTGACTGAGAGTAAATGATCACAGAAGACGTATGTTTAATTAAAAGCAAAATTATGCACTTTTTCTTACCAACAGTGATTTAAATTTAGTTTTTGCTCTTATGTCGCAGTACCTTCCCTTCTTTTTAATTTTTCTTTTTCAACATAAGTTTTAATGCTTTTGTTTTTAATTACGAAGAACCGTCCAGAGCAATAGTGCAATGATTATTTCAGTACAGATAATCTGTATTTTTTGTATTATGTTTAACAACAATGCAGATGATATTTTTTTAAGCTGGATATATTTTGTTATATTTTATTTGCCGAGCACTCACACACACATAGCGCCAGTATTATATTCTCATTATGAGAAAGAGAGCCAGTTCTCCAAAGTGTCATGTTATATAATCTCTTGGAGTAATTCTGCAGTAAAAACTGCAGTAGAAGATGGACATTTTTTGAGAAATCACAATAACCCAAGATGTATTATGTACGTACATACAGTATTTGTATGTTAAAATGTTTATTTATGGTATTCTAATGTATGACGACTAGGCCGATATTAGATTTGTTCTTTGTTTATAGTGCATGGGTGGCTGTTGCCAGGTCTTCTTCAGCCCTGTTTCTTTTTGTTTCTTCTGTGCCCAGTGTATGTGAATATTTGACATTTATTATTGTTGAACAATGTTGATATCCATGTTATATACTGAGAAAACATGACAACAGTGCATGGAATGACATCCATGACAGAAATGACAGACTGAACACCCATCTCCCACTGTCTTCCATTGGCTGCTTAGTGCAAAAAGCTTGATGACAATGAAAATGGCTGCCTGGCCGCTGCCCAAAACTGTATTTAATGATGCCGTTTATGCCCTAAAAGGACGTCAGGTCTGATGAGTGCTTTATGTTTGACTCTCTTGGTAGCGCACAGTAAATGGCAGTGATCCAGAAACTGTTGGTTATAGCATTGAGCGGCCCCGTATGAGACTGACTGCTGCGTTTTTCACGTTATCTGAGGCAAAATTAGCCGAAAGAAAAATATTTTTCCCAAAGATGTTGCTTGTCTTTGACAGATGCTATGGACTGTTGGGGTTTAGTTTAAACCAAAGACCACAGACAGTTTTTCAGAGTGCCAGCAAGAGTTTGGTTGTGATAGATAATGTACAATCCTTACTAATTTTCCAGACCCACCTTAACGGTTTCTCAAAACTGACATAGGATAAGATAACAGAAAGAGCAGCTCACTCCCCCTTCTTGCTCCTCGGTGATAGATTCAAAGCACTTTGAAAAAGCAGCCTTTTCTTATTGTGTGCAGTACTTTTTGTGGTAGTTTACAGAAACAGGAAGCAGATTTTACGAGATGATGTCATCACTGACCAAACAATGATTTGCATCAAGCCATTGAAGGATTATGTGTTGTACAGTATGATGTGTCTGTTGACTGTTTTGTGTATAAACTAAAAACTATTAACACTTTAACTGCTTGCTTCTAACATGACATTTTTAACTTTCTTGTATTTTTGTCTGTCTCTGACTGTTAACTGTACAATTTCTTTTAATACTGTGCCTCTGAATATACCTGTGCATATTAACACTAACTGCTACCTATGTTTGGTTTTGACTCCCTTTTTTTCGTTCAATAACTCCTCCCAGTGTCTTCTGAAATGTAAATAAATTAAAGATGTGACTAAAAGCTAACCTCTCCCTTTGCTTCTTTCTTCTTTGCTTTGACAGCCTTTCACCACATCTAACAGCATTAACAAACTTTGAATATCACGCACTGCTGGTGCACTAATAATGGATCAAATACCTCATTTTCATAGCATGACATGATAACCTGTATTGCCTAAACTAGAATATGAATGACTTTGTATATGCATAGGGAGATTAACATATGGGTTTTTAAGCAGTTACAAGCAGTATACAGATATTAATACATGGTTTGTAACACACAATGTTGTTAGTAGTTATAAGAACATTTTTATTATCATTTTTATTAACTGTAATAACTCCACCTATCATATTTTTTCACATTTTTCGGACATTACAAGACAATTAATCTGAAAACTAAATGGCAGATTAATCGTTACTCATAGACCTAAATGAGTTACTTTGAGAGAGAAATGCAGTGGATTAAAAACTACAGTATTTGCCTCTGAAATAGAAGTAGCATGGAATGGAAATACTCAAGTAAAAGACAGGTACTTCAAAACTCAGAGTAAGTACAATACAATAAATGTAGCCTACTTGGTGGAAAGTCACTTGATACATTTACTCAAGTACTGTACTTTTGTACAATTTTGAGTTTCTAGAATTTGAGTATTTCCATTAAGTGCATTATATTTATACTTCAACTCCACTACATTTCAGAGGCAAATGTACTTTTTTTATTCCACTACATTTGTTGGGGAGAAGTTTAGTTACTAGTTCATTTTCAGATTCATATTAATATTACAAAATAGAATCTTTCGCCTGTTACACATGATTCACAGGAGACATTATAGTTGTTGACAAATACGTTAATAAATACTTTAAAATTACTCTTACTTTCAACTACATTATAAGGTTTTATACAAAGTTAAAATAAAGTGTTAGAAGCCATATCTATCCGTTATAAGGCTTTTACTCAGTGCTCTCTCCTTCTCTTTCTCACACTCGCACATCACAGAAACAGGGAAAGCAAGGAATGTTCATTCCCCTTTTTTTTTAATTAGCCAAGCCTGGAAGCTCTCATGGGACACAAAAGGTTTCAACTGCTTTTGTTATGCCAGGGTACCATGGCCACGAGAAAAGTAAAGGCTCAGAATTTGGAAAGTTGAAAGAGGAAAGCTTCATGGTGCCTCAGCCCTTTTTTTTTTTTTGTTACCCTTCCTTTCATGCATGAGGCTTTTTCTTAACTCCTCTGCTTTCTGTTGCTTGTATTCATACCTTTTATATAAAAGGATGTTTTGCTCAAGTGGTGGCATTAATATTTTTCCTTTTTTTTTTTCTTCATCAGGAGACGCCACATACCTTGACATATTCCGAGAATTTTCCCACATGGCATCCCACAACCCGGAGAAGCTGAAACGAAGGAGTGTGCATTTCCGACACTCTTTCAGGTAGTCCGCCAAGAAGTGTCTGGAGAGGAGCAAGATTGTGTACTTGAAAAGTGCAACAGCCACTTTCCATATATATATATATATATATATATATAGTCACATTTGGGGTTGCAGTTCAACATCACAATTAAACCTACCTGATAGAAAAAGAATCATATTTCAAAATAATAAGTTTTCTGTTTTATTCCACAGAAAAAAATCCACCTCTAAAGTGCATTTAATTGAAGAAACTATTGCAATTTTGTATGCTGTTATTCATTATCATTCTTTTTTTACAATAGCTGCATTATATCTGCAAGAGTCTTGTGCTGTTTTTAGATCAACCTTTTATTTTGAAATGAGGATTTGCTGGTCTTGTCCTCTTAAATGTTTTTTTTTAAATAAATATAGCATTGCTTTTATACAGTGTTGAATGGAACCTTTTGGATAAAATGCCAAGCACTTGTGTTGTTTATTTTCTTTGTTCGTTTGTTTTTTGGGATAAGTAATTTGTTTGCTGCATCGGTTTCATTATCTGATCAACATGTCTGATTCATTTGAAGGAGTTTTTTATTATTATATATAAATACACTCTTCTGTGTGTGTGTGTGTGTGTGTGTGTGTGTGTGTGTGTGTGTGTGTGTGTAATGCATGCATTTATTCCCATTATATTTCATACCTAAACTTGAATTCAGCTACGCTGTATGGAGTGTCATATCATTGTTACTCATCATCATCCACAACCTTGAAATCAGAGTGTTATTTCTCATGATGAGCAGTTTATTTCAGTTATTTTCGTGTTTTTTTTGCATCGACTATGCTGGTCTAGTCTTCATAATGTTTTGTTTAAATGCACTTTGCATTACCACTATGAAATGCAGTGCTTATGTTACTGTATACATGCTGTAGAGGCAACAAAATGCTAATATATCTGAATGAACAGGGATGCAGATGAAAAATAAAACATTGTCTGTGTTTTCACACATGCAGTAAGAGTTCTCTGTTAAGTTTTGCCTCATATCTACATCACATCTCCATGTAGCTTAAACAACAGCGCCCACCAGTGTTAAAAGATCAGATCAAGTAAGTCAAAAAAACCCTGTCTTCCTGCACGAGATGTAAAACACTAGTTGGTCATATATAAACAACTAGTGTTTTAAAATAAACATTGTATTTGTATACATCATAACCATCCATCATAAACCATGTAGAAATCACGCTATGTTCGGTTTTTGTTCGCTCTGTAAAACCCCGAGATAGAATAGATGCAGGATTAATGCAATAACTGATACTACAATGGAATGGAATGGAAATATCCTACTTGTTAAATTACCACAAAGTACCTAAAAATTGCACGTACTTGTAACAAATGTAGCAACTTGATTCCACAACAGCCTCATCTACTGACTCAGCTGATTCCCCTTTTCTTAAAATAGATTTAAACGGTGCTCCAGTGTTTAAGTGATGAGCGAAACATGGAGTGAATAATAGACGATCTTTGGCTCTATCACCGCGTCCGTCGACGTCCGTGTCGTCTCGCCGTTACGTCGTCTCGGCGGCGAGCGGACAGACCGTGGTGAAGATGGAGCCCTGTAGAGGCGAAAGTGCTCATTATGATGCTATCTGACATTTCCAGTGACATGGTGCACATTTTGCTCGCTTGACACGCGATGTGACTTGCGACTTCGAGTCAGATGTGACTCGGATAGCTCGCTTGTTAGCTCAGCCCTCGTCCATCCTGCTGCAGCAGGCGGCTAACGGCTCCAGCTGATCCGCTGCAGCAGCACACAGAGCCCGGTGAGGACATGATGATGGTGATGATGAGGCCTTAGATGTCAGATCGGCGTCGGTGTGTTCACTCATCAAATACAGGTATTGTCACTGGTGAATCGGCAAAGCGTCGGTACTACCATGCCGGACTGCAGTTACCTGTGGCGTTCAGGGACACTTGAAGGGACAGGGGCCAAAAGCAAAAACCTTGACCCTAATGTGTGATCAAGGTGGGCCATATAGCAGGTAGACAAGGTGGAAGGACACGTATCAATGAACCGACACAGTGGTGTGTTTTTCGGCTCGAGAGATAAGGGTCATTAGTCTAGAGCTGAGACACTAGTTAATTGATTAATCAATTACTTAATTAGTGAATCTGGCTCCACAATGTTCTACTCTTCGAAAGGTTAGAAATAGCTGTTATAGCTATGTGTTTTCTTCCAAAATGGCTATTTTAAACATAATCAGTTTAATTAGGACACCAAATGTATTATTTCAAATAGTTTTTACCTCAAAAGAATAATAATCAAATTGTTACTATGTAATACAGGATTGCACAATGTAATGTAGTTGCAGCCCCCTCCATGCTACACACAGAGAAAATGTATGAACGGATATTCAAAACAAGTGCATTAGAATAGAACTACTTTTCTTTCTTAGAACTACTGATTGATTTTCTGTCGATTGACAACTCGATTATTCAACTTAATTGTTGCAGGTCTAGATCCATCTCATCTCTTGTTTGCATCATCTTCAGTAACTCTTAAGTCCTCTTAAGTCCACCCATGTCAACGTCTTGTCTGTCTGTTTTTTTAGATGTCATGGTGATGGTTGCGGCTGATCTTTAATCTGCAGACATGGCGTCGCAGCTCCAGGTGTTCTCCTCTCCCTCCGTGTCCTCCAGTGCCTGCTCTCGTTCAAAGAGGCTCAAAGTTGAGAACACCGCCTGGGACGTGTCCAACCAGCTGGGAGACAATGCTTACTACCAGCAGAGCCCCACCCAGGGAGCTGCACCCTCTGCTTCTGGCTCCAACTTCAACCCAGTGTACAACTCCAACCAGGTGCACCCACCGACAGCCGGCTCCAGGGAGCAGACGGTGGTGCGGGCGGCAGACAGCACGGGCAACGTTCGCGGACCTTCCTCTTCCTCATCGTCCTCCTCCAGCCGTCGCGTCAAGGATGCAGAGTCCTCCTCCCAGCCGTGCGACCTCTACCACAAGCAGTACAGCTTGAAGCGGAAGAGCGAGGAGGTGGACAGCAGCGACAGCGTCCAGATCCTGGAGGAGCTCTCAGCCCCCGTGGTCTCAAACCGCACTGGTGGTGGAGGAGGGGGAACCGCCACAGCTCAGTCCATAGCACATTCCACTTCTACCACAAAGAGCAGCAACTCCCACAGCGAGGGAGACTACCAGCTGGTCCAGCATGAGATTCTGTGCTCAATGTCCAACAGCTACGAGGTGCTCGAGTTCCTGGGACGCGGCACCTTTGGCCAGGTGGCAAAATGCTGGAAGCGGGGAACAAATGAGATAGTGGCCATTAAGATCTTGAAGAACCATCCTTCTTATGCTCGGCAAGGTCAAATTGAAGTGAGTATGTTGTTTTGAGAGGAATAAAAACTCCAAGGTGGACAGACAGAAAGCTGATCTCACTCTTTTACCCTCAGCAGCCATGAACCTGCTCTGAAAATCACAGAAATTCGGATCTTTATCAAGTCTGATAATTATCAAGTTTCGAATTTCAAATCAGATTTATCCAGTAGTGGTTGTCAGAACATCCACAAGTACACTGCAAACAGGAACTGCTAACACAGCATGACTTTTAATGGGGAAAATTTCCAAAATGTAAACAAATAAAGGCTAAAAAACAATTGGGCTCATGGTCCGGCCCGCAGCTAGCAGTTCACGTCATATGTGGTGGAGATGGGAAATATTTGCGAGCGTCCAAGTCATCAAGACAGTTGCATGATTATATAGTTAATCTGTGTATCGACAATTCAACATCATGTCCATCGAATTTGGGTTTAATTACATGTTTTTTGCTGGATTTGAGGCGTCCATGTTTTGTTTTGTTTTCAAGAACATCCTTATTGGATGTATGTGTTTCCCAGTTGTACTTACCACTTGGATGTTAATATGAGGGACATTTAAAAAGAGACTTGTAATCAAGATAAATTTGCTTCTGCTGCTTTTTGCTGGCATCGCCCACAGCATTATGAGAGCTGCAGTTCCAAAACAGATAATTCTACCAGGAAAATTATTATTCTAAATAGAAGTTAGTGGTGTTTTCTTCATTATTTATCAATTAATGAACACACTATCTTCATCTTCCTCCCTGTAGGTGAGTATCCTAAGCAGGCTGAGCACAGAGAATGCCGATGAGTTCAACTTTGTCCGCTCATACGAGTGTTTCCAGCACAAGAACCACACGTGCCTTGTGTTTGAGATGCTGGAGCAGAACCTTTACGACTTCCTGAAGCACAGCAAGTTCAGTCCGCTGCTGCTCAAGTGCATACGGCCGATCCTGCAACAGGTCGCCACGGCACTGATGAAGCTCAAGAGCCTGGGTTTGATCCACGCCGACCTGAAGCCTGAAAACATCATGTTAGTAGACCCTTTGAGGCAGCCGTACAGAGTGAAAGTCATTGATTTTGGCTCCGCCAGCCACGTGTCCAAAGCGGTTTGCTCCACCTACCTGCAGTCACGATACTACAGGTGAGTACGTCTGCATCAACTGTAAAGTAAGAGCTTTGAATATGTAAACGGCTTGTTGTGATCCTGTCGTTTGTATGTTATGATGTGCTTGCAGAGCTCCGGAGATCATTCTGGGCCTTCCTTTCTGTGAGGCGATCGACATGTGGTCGTTGGGATGTGTCATTGCTGAGCTGTTTCTGGGATGGCCCCTTTATCCTGGTGCCTCAGAGTATGATCAGGTCAGCGACAGCACGCTCACAAATATATCTACTCTAAAGCGTCAATCATATATCATCATTGTGGCTGACACAATCGGCTCTCATGATGATAACTGTATAAAGTATAGGTCACATGCTGTCTCAGGACATCAACTGACTTGTTTCTTTTCTATTGTCTCTCTCAGATCCGTTACATTTCCCAGACCCAGGGCCTTCCTGCAGAGTACCTGCTGAGTGCCGGAACCAAGACCAGCCGCTTTTTCAACAGAGGCCCCGACTCGAGCTACCCGCTCTGGAGACTCAAAGTACGTGACTCCACAGAGATGGACGTTTCTATCATCAAGCATATATACAGTCTGTAGTACGTTGACAAATTAGGGCCAATACAAATCATTATATATGTGTGTGTGTGTATATATATATATATATATATATATACAGTATATATATATATTATTGATTGCAAAATATAATTAGATTAGGTTTTCCATTCTAGGCATATTACACGGTTAACGGCGGTGTGTTAACGGTGTGATGAGGTTGATGAACCTTGCAAAGTGAAGCAATGTAGTTCCTTTTTATTGTCAAAAACTTTGTCAAAAACTCACAAATTTTATTGTCAACTTTACGTTAATTTTATTCTCTAAATATGACCCTGCATAGATCGATTGGCTACTGAAACCGGAAGTTTTTCAGCAGATCGGCCAAGATTCAAAGCAAGTATTTAAAAAAAAAATAAAAATACAATAGTTTAAATCCTAATCATTCAAGTGTTTCGATGACAATAACAAAGTAAAAAGATAACATTTAGAATTTCTGACTTTGGGATGATTCAAATGATCTTTTAAGACGGTGGTGAAAAAGGCCTGGAGCTTTGCTGTCAATTATAGTCTTTCCAAAAACAATCTGAATCGGCAGATCAGACGTTCAACAAATCGAAAAAATAGATGGGCCAAGGAAATTGCAATCGCTGCATCTCTTATTTCTTTTTTATCTGCAGTGGCCCTAACATGCGGTCGTATGTATACTGAGGCTTTGCTGTAATTATTTTTCTGCAGACACCTGCAGAGCACGAGGCAGAGATGGGCATCAAGTCAAAGGAGGCAAGGAAATACATCTTCAACTGTCTAGATGATATGATGCAGGTGAGGACGGAGCCGTTTCATTTCAGATAAGCTCCTGCAGTTTACAGTAATATTGTTGGTAGATCTGGTAATTTAAAGGGCTACAAGGTGGGACAACTGTGTGTATAGGCAAATAAGTCATGGGCGTGTCAGTGTGCACTTCTACTGTTGGATACATTTTGATGTGATGTCGTTGGGTGTACCAGGATGCAGTTTGACAAACCCAGACTTCCTGTCGTTCTGCAGGTGAACATGACAAACCTGGAGGGGACGGACATCTTGGCAGAGAAGGCTGACCGGCGGGAGTTCATAGACCTGCTGAAGAAGATGCTGACGCTAGACGCAGACAAACGGATCACGCCCATTAAGACGCTGAACCACCCCTTTGTCACCATGACACACCTGCTGCACTTCCCTCACAGCTCACAGTGAGTTCAGGACTGAGACAGTAATGATTGTGGTGGCTGCGGTTTAGCATCACAGTTAGTTTTCAGTATTCCATCTTTGTTCCTTTTTTAACGATTTTTCTAATTTTACAGTGTGAAGTCCTGCTTTCAAAATATAGATATATGCAAACGCAGATGCTCCGCCTTTGAGAATGGCAAAAATATGTTTGCCAGCAACAATACCCCAAGTGCAGCCACCAACCTCACTGTCACCTTCAGTAGCCAACTAAACCAGCACAACCAGGTGAGAATATCTTTGATCTGCCTCATCGTGGTCTTCATTAAGTTATTCTTGTTGATCCACTTGTCACGTGTTGCAGTTTATGTCAGTAGCTTTGTAAAGTGATGACCGCATAAAATCTGATTTATCCGTTTCTTCTTGTGACAGTGTGAGTTTCCAAAGACAAGCATTTCCATTTTTACTTAAAATTTCTGAAATTGTACCATTAATGCTTCTTGTTTCTCTGGTACTGCACCATGCTACCATGTTTTCTGCATGTTGTGATACATTATCTTGCAGATGGCCTCAACGGGAGGCCAGTCCCTGTCCCTCAGCAGTAACGTCCCGTTGCTGAACTACCAGCCTGGCCTCTACCAGCAGGCCACCATAAACATCCCTGGCCTAACCCAGCAGGGGGTACCACTGCAGACCAGACCCGCGCAGCTCTGCGCCCAGACTGAGCCCTTCCAGCAAACACTCATAGTTTGCCCTCCCACCATCCAGGGTAAGAAAGCCCGATGTTAGTGTCATCGTGCTTCAATGAAAATAAATCTTATTGACTAATGATTTGACCAACCAGCCACTAAAGGAAATAAACCTTTTATGGATATTTAGCTTTTTTTTGCAGCCAACTTCATAATCCTAAATTTATTTTATTCTATGTTTTCTCGTCCTCCATCTTTTCCTTGCAGGTCTTCAGACATCCAATAAGCCCTCTGGTTATCCAGTGAGGATGGACAACTCTGTACCCTTAGTTCCTCAGAACCAGTCGTCCCAGTCTCTTCACATCCAGCCCGGCATGCTGGCTCAGGTAGGAACCACTTCATGACCACTAGGGTTGGGCTTCACTGGAGTTTTATTGAATCTGATTCCAGTATTGACCATGTCAGTGGTGGAATGTACATTTATTACACTGGGCTAGACAAGCGATACGTTTAACTACATAGTATCTTAATTACTCAAAATATAAGGAGATTAAAAAAGGCACCCATATTTTCAACCAAAAGCTAGTTGCTTGTGCCAACCTGGCAACCACCTTTAAAGCCTCTCACAATGATTACGAAGACCAGTATTCCTGTTCTGGTGTGTAACTGAAAACTCTTGATCCAAAGCCAGGACTCCCTCTTTTTTTAGGATTCGATACAAAATTGAACAGCTTCAAATGTGTTGTCTCAGTCTGTTTAAATGTCATAACACCTCCTCCCAGGCCTCCCTCGCCGCCCAGCTGATAGGCGACCTGTATGCCTCAGTGGCGGGAATGTCGCCTTTAGGCTCGGTCCTGTTGCCAGTTGGCTGCAGGGTTTCCATCAGGAGAACGCCGTTACCACGGTTTTGCACTCGGCGGCTCACGTTACCGCAGTCTTGGAAAGGGAGGAGTGAGTGGAGGGGTATTAAATTGGTTGCAATCTACAACCACACCGCCACATGCCACCAAATCCTACACACTGTCCCTTTAACAGATTATTGCCAAGTTAATTTGGCTGAACTTTTGTGCCTCCTAGTGGAAGATTAAAGAAAGACACACCGACAGACAGCAATGCACACTGCTGTGTTTATAAAGCTTTAGAATCTTCTGACAATATTTCTTTTTGTAAAGAAATATAATGTAAATGGAATAAGTCTGGAAACATGATTGAGATGGTGGTGTTAGGGTCTGCTGGATGTCCTGGTGCGGGACAGAGATGGGAATGCTGGTGTTTGTCTACAAACTGCATGTGCTCATCATGCATTTTATTTCAGTGTGACTCTCCAAGACACTGCACTTTGTTCTCTTCTTAATGTGTCACTGCTGAGGTTTAAGGTTTTTGAAATGCAATATTTTATGATTTAAGTGTATGTATGTGTTTGCATACAGCAGGGCTGGCCAGCAGGCACACAGCAGATTCTCATCCCTTCCACATGGCAGCAGATGCCAGGCATGGCCATCCACAACCCTGGGCAGGCCGTGGTGCCTGAGTCATCCATGGGAGCCCCGATACCCGACAGTCAACAAGCTTCTGGCTGGAGGTGAGTTAAGTCTGACAGGACTCTGTGTCATAGCTTCACAGGTCAGTCTATTATTACGATGAAATGGAAAGTTTAAAATGTAAGTGCAAGCATGTCCCTCCTTTTCACAGGGGTCGTCATGGAAGCCAATACGACGGCCTCAGCCAGCAGGACTCTGGTGTTGGCCGTCACGCTGCCTCCCAAGGCCACAACTCGGGGGCCGCTCACTCCAGATCCCAACAGGGAAAGAGGTCAAAGGCTCGACATGCAGAGAGCAAAGCCAGGTATCCTCTCAGAATCTCAGGGGGGGAGGTGGGTCTTCTATAAATTGCGGTGATCCCTGGCTTCTCCTGACCACTTGTTCGAAGACAGTAGGGCTCCAGCGATTTTCATTGACGCTTTAACCTACCTGAAAACTTTCAGGTAGTCTTTCCCATGGCTGCACCAAAACTAACATTGAATTGATCTACTAACAATTGGGATGTTGGAATGTATTGAGGGACGGACTAACACATTGTTGGTTTTGGTCTTTGCATGATATTTTTTGACAATAACAAAAATATAGAATAACAGAATAACAGAACCTTAGCCTCTGCCGAATTAATGTAACGTAATGTGATCCTTTTATGTGCTCCAGCAGTGTCTACTTTATTTAATAAGGATAGAAGAATGTATGATTATTTGATATTAAAATGAAGGGCTATTTTAGGCAAGCACAAGCTGTAAAGAAAATTAAAAGCAACAGAAATAGGTGGCAGGTTACCTCTGCTGCCTAAAATGTTCAAATAGATTCAGCATTTGCAATAAGAGCGTGATGGAGCATCTTCTTCCCCTCCAGGCTTGTGTCGTCGGCCACCACTGTGGTCCACAACACTTCTGCTTTTGCTGGCGACCAGTCTCAGCCCATCGTCATCTCGGACACACCGAGCCCTGCTGTCAGCATCATCACCATCCACAGCGACTCAGAAGACGACGATGACAGGAAGTTCCCTGCCGCCTGGTGAGCTCATTTCCATTTTTGTGGAATTAGAATTTTCACAGAGATAGCTTTTTGTTTTTGTTAATTTTACTGCCTCTCTTCTTCTCTCCTGTAGCTCTGGAACAAGCCAGAGGACCAACGTGATCAGCTGTGTGACCGTGCACGACTCCCATGACTCCGACTCCTCCAACAGCAGCCCCCTGAGCCCCAAGACGACCTCACAGCCCACCAAGTCTTTGGCCATCATCATGCCCTCTGTGAAGAGCCAGCCGGGGGAGAGCACAACCCACAAAGCCCCGGCAGCTCCAGGTCCTCCAGGGGCAGAGATCCTCTAGTCTTCATATACATTTATTTTGTTTGAAATAACTAGATGTGGATCCATGCACTAAATTATCAGCACAGCTCTTAAGGCCTTTGCACAGTGGGGGTGTGACAAATAAACAACACCAAAGTTAAAATACTCGTGACAACAACAATAGTTTGTAACAATTATATCGAAATGCAAATGAATCACTCGAAGAAAGAAAACAATATGCCACCGGTGTGTAAAGGCTTTAAGATTGACAGGTTGAACTGATCCATTTTCTTCTTAGTGCTCACAATATTCTGTCTGGTTTTGCACTCGCAGATCAAGCTATAAGTGGCTCTGGAAAATCCAAGAAAGGATCGACTCAGCAGTCCAGTCGGGCAGGAGATTCCAACGCTGATCGCCATCAACGGGCCGCATCCAGCAGGTCTCAGCCTCTGAATCTGAGTCAGGTAACGGCATCAAATGTTGCTTATGTCTGCGCAACAAGTTAAACCCAGAAAGAGTCTGGTTCTGCCTACAATCTGTTCTCATTATGTATATACATTACTGCTCAGCCTGTCACATCACTGTTGATTCTGTTTACTACTACTCTCCAGCCTGACTACCGCGTTTTATTATTCCTCTGTGCCGGCATAAGACGTGCTGTGGGGTTGTTGAGATCTAAAAATTCCATTGTCCACGACTGCCCACTCTGTGTGTGGGTATGTATGACCCTCTCTGTTGTTTCAGGTACAGCAGTCTGTGTTGTCGTCATCCCACGATCAAACAGGAAGCAGTAGTTCCCTAAGGCGGCAGCCCACATACCCTCCTCCCGTCTCGTCCCACTCATCCTACCGGCTTCACGAGAACACCCTCTTCAGCTCAACCCCAAACTTGTACGCCTACCCGGCATCTGCCGCGCTGGCCTCTGTGTCCCAAGCCGTGGACCAGATGCAAGGTGGCTCATCCCGCCATAGCAGGACGAGCGGAGCTTACTCTTCCCTGGCGCTGCTCCAAAAGAACGGCAGCTTGGCCTTGGGAGGGTCTGCTCCGGGACAGTACGGCAACCACCAACAGCAGCAGCAGCAGCAGCAGCAGCAGCTGGGAGGGCAGCCTTTCCACCACGCTGCTACTTACCAACGAAAACTGAACCAGTATCCCTACCTGTAAAGACTAAAGCGCTGGATGTCGACCAAATGAAGACCGAGACTAGAGACGAGCACAAGCTCATCACGGGCGGCTGTGATTAGACTTTTAACTTTCCTTTACTGTGCTTATTTTTACAACTTTCAGTGATTATTTTTCATAAAATAATCATGGATTTATATTTCAATCATGGTCGTCTTTTTTTAAATATCCATTCCAACTTTGGAGTTTTTTTGTGTCGCATACAGCAACAAACAGAGCAGTCTGTAAGTGTCTACAAAGTGACACATTTATTGTAGTGTTGGTTCTGTGCTCCAGTACAGCACATTTTGAACAGTATGGGGTTTAAAGTGCGGACTTTCAGCTTTAATTTAAGCACGTTTACATCCACATCAGATGAAACACGTCGGAATCTCAGCCTTTTTCATACATGCTCCCCAAATTGAAGGGACCAACATAAAGCTGAAAATTCTACTACTTACAGACTGCAACGTTAAGTTGATTTTTATTTATTTTTTATTTTATTGTATTTGAAAAATTAGTATTGAGGAGAAACTGGAACTTGACTAACTGTTATGCTGATCTCTATTATTATTATTATTATTGTTATTATTATCATCGTTGTCAGAATTATGAACTAATTGCGTAAAAGTTGCATTGACATATACACAATCGCCTTACTTAAGTCAATTTATTTTGTCATTTTAAACTTTAATATGTCAGCACATTGTGATAAGTGAGATGTTGTATGTTTAATTTATGAATCTACTATGTGTGTGTGTGTGTGTGTGTGTGTGCGTGTTATCTGTTTAAAAAAAAAAAAAGAAAGTAAGTTCTGCTGTGTATAATAATGTGTCCTTGTGTTCTTCAACTGTTTCCCATGTTCGCTCTGTTTTCGTGCTGGCCATTGACCTATTATATTTACATGTGCCGTATGTCCATTGATGCAGTACAGTTCAGCATAGAGTAGGATGGTATTTAGAGGGGACCGTCGTGTTTTTTATTCTTACGGTTGCATGTGTCTGACTTGGTGTAGCATTCAGGAGAGGTTTGTAAAAAAAAAAAAAAAAACTGCAGCTCCACTGATTTGAAGTGTCGCTCGCAGATGATGGATTATCAATGTTGTGTCAAATTTGTACAACAAACACACAAATGATTTGGGGAAAGTGTAAAAGCTCTTGTCTTGTGACGTGATGTCTGTGAAGTAAAAGCGTGCACATAGAAATCTGATTGGGTATCACACTATCATGTCAAAGCCATTTAGAATGCAATTGTAAAATTCACAGTTATGCATTTGAATTGTGAATAATCAAATCTGACAAAAGATAATTTATAAAAATATGAATTGATGTTCAGTATGTAACCGCTACTATACAAATCATTGGTTTGCTGATACGGTGGTTTTTCTTACAAGCCTGCTGTGATGTGAAGTGCCGCATAGAACACACTATGAACCTTAAACCGTATATGCGCAATAAAAATCCTCTCAAAACACAATTTTGGACTCATTGATGCTTGAAACGGAAGAATCTTCTCAAATTACACAAACGTCCAAATTAAATGCTGAATTCAGGATCATTGTTTCAGAGTTGATTCAGATTCGGGGCCGTACCTAACGTCATTTTTATCATTGATGAATCCTTAGGTCTAAAGAACGCCAGAAAACAACAAACACGGTGATGTCTACAAATAACTTGTTTATTTCCCCCATCAGCCCAAAACCCTAAGATATCCAGTGTTTAATGATATAATACAGAAAGTACTCACATTCTCAGAAGCCAATGTCAAACATTAGCTGGTTGCAGATAATATTTGGCAGTTTTGCTTGGAAATTAATCTATTGTATATTTGCCGATTAATTTGTCGATCAACTTGAGATTGCAGCTTCTAAATCAACTGTTGCACAATTTAGTTTAATACTCATTGAAGTATCATTTCAAATAAAATCAACAAAAGCACAATCTAATATATGTCCAGAGCACTTTTTTCACCAATATGATAATAAACAAAATATCTATTTGTACGGACAAAACAGAATTGTGGCGGTCATTTTTCCCAAATCCTTTATATTTTGTGATTAATCTGTAATAGAAGTAATCGTTATTTGCATCCCTGAAAATAACTAGAACACTAAAGAAACCCAGGTGCCATTTAATTGATAAGAAATATTTATTACCAGTACATTTGCAGTACATTTGATAAAGCTGTGTCACATTGTTATCGTAAATCTTATCTTACAATCCACACCTGTAGCAGGATCCAAACAGTCCACAAATGTAGGGAATGTAACGCCATCGTCCGTCCATGCATTTGCAAACAAGTGAAAATGAAAGGATGAAACAAAAGCGTTCCAAATTTAGCTTAGTTAAATATAATGAAGAGTGAGCCATCACACAAACAAAGATCACCCTCTTACAGCAATGAACCAAAAACTAGAGATGTTTAAAGATGCAGCTGATCCAAATCATACAGGTCAAATAAATAAATTGCTCTTTATCCACATCATTAGATTGCGTTTAGTCAAGTTCCAAACAATAGGCCTTTACATACAGGAGACATTCTGACCCGACACAAACGTGACTCTAATTATGTTGACACCTGTACTTTTCCTTCAAGAAGTCAAAATGTCTCATATAATACAGTGACAATAAATTATTAATGGAAGTTTGTGTCAAGAAGTATCACTGTCCGTTATTGAGGCAGTGTTTAAAAGATACGCTTCTACTTTATTGTTTTTACCCTGTTGTAAGTAGGACGGATACTATCTCTAACAGAAACTAGTGGGATTGTACGTCACTAATGACTAAATCAATTTAGGCTAATTTTGGTGTGCGCCACCATATAATATCTCTATAAAAGGGCTTTTCCTTGTCGCAGCATTATATATCTTTTCTCTCTTGCCAGAGGCATCGGTATGGCACAATGAATATTTACACTGTATACAGAACCGCCAGCTAAAAAGAGAGATCGCCTAGCTGCACAGTCTCTCTCACCACTAACGACAATATCTAGTCAGGGTTAAAATTCCTCATATACACACACATTTCACAATATCACACAGAAACATTTGGAGCCCAACATTTAAAAAGTCCAACGGCACACAGAAGGCAGACCATGTTAATAACTCTGATGGCGGGCAGACAGTCCAGCGCTGAAGGAAGGAAGGATGCTTTAATTGGAGTCAGCAGTGAAACAGGCCGTTGAGACTTAAACACAGAATTGCACACTAGAACCTTCTATCAGTAGCCCCCCCCTCCCCCTCCCTCGTCTAGCTTGTCCCTGAAGCAGATGTAGGAAGTCGCCCCGCTTTGCCGAGAGGGAAAGTGTGTCCCTCAGAACTCCTCGTGAACATTTCGGGCGTAATCCATGAGCTTGCTGCCCGTGAAGTATTGGCTGTACTTGAGAATCTCGTCCAGCTCCAAACTGTGGTTCTGGTTTTCATCGGCGACGGCGATCATCTGCTTGGCCTCGTTCAGAGCGTTGTGCTCGTTCATCGGGTCCATGTACTCCTGTACGCCACACAAGAAGAAAAGAAAGTCAGTGGTGATCAAATTTAAATTGAATAGCTCATTCAAAAAATGATTATTTGCATTTATGAAAAGGGGTGGCTTATACTTTACAAACAAGACTCACCTCCAGTTCCTCCATGGTTATAATGCCATCACGGTTGGAATCGATGACGTCTTCAAACTCCTTCCTCCTCTCTAGAACCCAGTCGTCATCGATGTCCTGAGCCTGCTGGTTCTCCACGGTGCCCACGGGTAGAGAGATGAACTCCGACAGTGTCAATTTCTTATCACCATCCTGGTCTACAAGCAAAGCAACAACATTTAACCCTGCATCTGTAAAACACATGTTCTTAATGCGCCCCATCACAGAACAATGCATATTCACAAAAACAGATCCACTGTTCTATTTATTACATAAACAGATGAGATAACTTGGGAGAGAGAGCTTAACAGGGTTACCCAGAGTTACATTTACAGACATTGGCTTCAAACCTCATGAGGTTGAGAAAAAGATTTCCCCAGAAGACAAATATTTCACAATGAAAACACATAAGTGCCATCTGAAATATCCTATAATAAAGCTGCTATAAACAATATTTTTACATTATCAATTGACAAAATAACTGTTTTGGTTTTACAGCCGTTTCAATTCACTCTCTCTCAATTCTGCTCTCATCAGCATCATTTACAGCAGCAGCTATTTTTAGCGAAAAAGCTCTAAAAGCCCACTGAGCATTACCTACTCAGCAACATGCTTCAGACAGACTGAAGTTTGAGACTAGCACGTCTACAGAGTGGAGAATTTAGCAGCTTAAGAGGCAGATTTTCCCCTGAGAAATGAGCTAACTATGATAAAAGACTGAGCTAATATGCCTTTTTGATATTGATGTGTAAATAAGCTGCAGTTTGCTAACAAGTTCTCCTTATCAACCTAAAAAAGGTGCAACATGTCAAGGTTGTCTTAAAAAAATAATTGACAAATGTTCGACAATGATGCTCATGATTCAGGTATTGGGGAAGCAAAATGTACCCAAGTCGCGCACAATCTCCTTGACCATGTATTTGAGCATTCCTTTGCTGTGCTCCGGGTGAAGGAAAGACAGGAACTCCTGCTCATTCAGCAGCTGGTCAGATGGAGGGTTGTCGGCCTGAAACCAGCGGTCCTTCAAGCTTTCCAGAACCTCCTGGGCTGCAACGATGACAAACTTTCAAATTGCGGCACATATTCTGGGATATATTCTTAAAA